GGCACCCACTTTCTTCTGGGTGGGTACTCCACTGGCACTCCGCCCCCACTCTGTCCGTTCCCCCAAGACCCCACCCCCGCCCCACCCCTAACCCAAGCATGCTCTGCCCTTGCTCCGCCTCTCCCTGCCCCTGCTCTCCCCAACCCATGCATGCCCCATCCCCGCTCTGCCTCTCTCCACCCCTGCTCTGCCCCTAACCCATGTGTGCCCCGCCCTCACTCCGCCTCTTCTCAGCCCAGTTCTGCCCCTCCTCCCCAGCGCCTCTCACCCAATCAGCTGTTTGGCAGGTGGCTGGTGGGTGTTGGGCACCCACTATTTTTTTTTTGCTGTGGGTGCTCCGGGGTGGAAGCACCCATGAAGTCAGCGCCTATGGCTAAGGAAAAAGGCCAGAGCTTCTGATTGTGCCCATCAGTGGGCACAGAGGGAGGCTGGGTCACCCAAGTGATGAGGACACAGACCGAGGTTGTTATAGCCACCCGTCCGTCGACAGCCACAGCGCTCTCTGGTATCTGGGACACTGGGCTGACAGAACTTAGGGAACCTCTGGAGACAGGGGCTGATCTTGAACTCCATTCCCTCCACCTGAGGCTAGACAGAGCAGGAGAAACTTCACTGGGATTCTTCATAAGCCATTAGTCTTAGCGGGTCTAGTAACATCTGCTTGCTTGATGCTCGCTACTTTCTGTCTGTCCCAGCGAGTGGCACTCGGGCAGACATTGGCTTGGTGTGCCGTTACAGCTGCGGGATACGGTGGCACAGCAGGTGAGCAGAACCCCTGTTACTCACATTGACGATGGCTTCCTTCGTCTGGGCCATGTCCGATATCACCCCGTCTGTGATGATCAGGAGTACGAAATACTGGGAGCCGTCCTGTTCAGTGGTGGCGTATCTGGACAGAGAGATGTTCATGTGAGCGTAGGCTTCTGGGGGGTGGGTACCAGGGACTGGGGACTCTGAGCTGGTGGCTAACCTTGCTGCACTGGGCCATGTTCACCCCTGGGGTAACTGCTATAACCCCATGGGGAATTTGTCCCCGGGTCTGTGGTTCAGAACAGCGTCTCCAATTTCCCAGTTTGGGAGATTTCTGTGGAGAGATTAGAGCTGCCCAAGGGGAGTCCCCTTCCTTCTCTCCCTGCCCCAAAACGTAACCTCCATTCCTGCTGTCGCCCAGGGGCCATGTGGGCTCCCAAGAGAGCTGGGCTGTGACACCCCTTACCCAAACCAGGAGCCTCTTGGGAGTAAAGGAGAGGCCTGTGGCACATCCCTGCTAGTCCAGCTACAGGGTGTTAGACATGGGCCTTGAGCCAGGCCAGGGAGTGACATAAATACACACCGTGCTCCCGGAACCCATGGCTTGAGACATACACCTGGATTGGACCCAGCCCTGGAGGATCCACTGCCCTGGCTAGCTCATTCCCGCCTTTGGCTGCTATCAAACCGCTCTCGACTCTTTTGCTGATCCCAATTGGCCAGTCTACGTAGACACTGCCATAGCTCTCTGGTGGGTACACCGGCCCATTGCCAGCCCAGGGAGGGGTGACAGAGCAAGCAGGGCTGTGGGATGCTGCCACTAGCCAATGCACCAGCTGGATGTACCTAGCCACATGGTTGACCACTGGGGCGAAGTTAGTTGGGCCGTACAGCTGGACAGTCTTGAGGCTCTTGTGATAGGCTTCTAGGATGCCCTCGATCCCACTGCAGTAGGGGTTGTCGGCGTTGCCGTTCTGAGAGAGAGGGAGGAAGGGCAGTGAGGAGGGTTCCCAAACAGGGGAGTCATTCCCCATCCCCCACTTTTATTTCCCAGAGCCCTACTTGAAGCGCTGGCCAGAGGGATATGAGGAGATCCCCGCAGCGCTGGGAGGAATCACCCGAAGGGGTTACCCAAAGGTAACAGGGGCCACACCCCTGGTGCCTCAGAGGAACAGTGATGATAACACTTAGCACTTGTGCAGTGGTTCCATCCTAGGATCTCAAATTGCTTCAAAAGCACCATCATCCCCATGTTCCTGGTGGGGAAGCTGAGGCAGGGAGGGGACATGGCTTAACCAAGGACAAACAGAGTACGCCCATGAGGTGGGACTAGAACCCAGGAGTCCCAGCTCTGATACTGAAATGGCTTCCATTGCTGAGCCTCAGTCCCTAGCCAGCATCTCCAGAAAATGGGGCTCAGGGAGACACCGGAGTTACCTCCCCCATGCTGTAAGGAGGGGAGCTCTCTCCTGGGGGTGGGGGTGGGGAGATGGCAGCTACTTCCCTTCTCCACCGGGGACTGGGAAGAGGCTCACTAAGAAAAACCAGGTTTCCTGGCTCAGATTTTTATGCCCTCCCCATGGGAAATCCATTTTCCTGTCCTCAGAGCAGCCATGCTGCTACCCTTGGTGCTTATGGCTGTTTGGTCAGCTAAGGCCAAGCCACAGAGGCCTTGTGGCAGCCTGGAGCAGCACGTCTCAGAGCCCAGGGTTGACACACTAGGCTTGTGCGACAGCACTGAAAGCAGCTCTGGAGACGATCGGACTGGGGCTGGCGCTTGGGCTCTGAAGCCGAAGGAGGGGGGTGGGCACCAGAGCCCCAGCGTCTACACAGGTCTTTTGAGAGCCGCAGCACAAGCCCGAGTCTGGCTCTGGGCCTCGCTGCCGCGGCTGTGCAGATGGATCCACTGAGGCTCCACTAGGGCCGACCAAGCACTCGGAGACCGGTCAGGCTTTGCCACAGTCATGGGCCCTTATCAGCATTGGCTGCTCTGTGGAGGCACCTCGGGCAAATCTGGTCAGGATCACACGGACTGGCTGGTCTAACCAGGGCATCAGATTAGTGGGGAGGTGGTGCCATACACACCCTAACCCCCACCAAGAGCCTGATCCTGTCAGGCTCTGAGCACCATCCATATCCACCAAAGCCGACAGGAGCTGAGGGTGCTCAGTACCTCACAGGGGCTGCTCTTTCAGGATCAGGGCCTAGCCCAGGACTTCACAACAGCCAGACAGCCTGATGGACAGGAGCGAGCCCTTCACTTCCAAGCAGGCACAGAATGGTTGTGGACGCTGGAAAAGAGGCTGTCTATGCACTGGTCTACACTACAGAATTACTTCAGCATAACTACGTTGCTCAGGCGTGTGAATAATCCACACCCACTGAGCGACGTAGTTATACGAACCTACACACTGGTGCAGGCAACTTCTCCCACCAGCATAGCTGTAGCAGGGCGGGGCACTCACTGTCACAGTGCCTCCTGCTGGTCAGTCTGGGAATTAGCTCATCCAGCTCAGGAGCGCCCTCCTCTGGCCAGTTTCTTGCCCCCGGTAACCTGCCCTGTTGTCTCCACCAACTCTGGCCCCATGACCCTCCTGGACCCCAGTGCCCCTTACCTTGGGGTGCTGCCCCACTGCAGTGCCCCCCACTCTGGATCTCCCCTCCTAGGGGAACCCCAACCCCCTATACCCACCTTGCCTCAGTGGCTACTGCCAGTCATCTAGCCCCTTCTCTCAGAGGCAAACTGCAGTCTGAAATGGCCACTCATCACTGGAAGGGGGTTTGACCTGCTGCCTTTTCTTGGCCTGGCTGCCTCCCTGCAGGCCTAGTACCTCCTCAGGCCTTTGCTGCAAAGCCTCAGCCTGGGAGGTTGCCAGGCCAGAGCTCCCCAGCTCAGCCTGCCCTTTCCCAGTACTGCTCTGTCCAAGGTCTCTACCAGGCAGCTAGGTCCTTCTTACTCCACCACTAGAGCAAGACTGACTTCCTTCTCCCCAGGAGCCTTTCTTATACTGGCCTAGCTGGGCCCTGATTGGCTGCCTCAAGCCCACTTGTGATTGGCTCCACGGAGCAGCCCTTTCCCAGGGCTGTTTTTAACCCCTTCCAAACCGGAGCAGAGTGACCACCCCACTACAATAGCCACCACCTCTCACGGAGGTGGAGTTATTAACCCAACAGGAGAGCTCTCTCCCGTCGGCTTAGAGCGCCTTCACCAGAAGCACGACAGCGACTCAGCTGCCGATGCCAGTTGGTAGTGTAGACCTGCCCTAAGTGGTGGAACGATTCAAATGGGATGGCAGTACCAGGGGGAACTCGTGGGACACGTGCCCATCAGGAGGGATTTTGGCTCCGAACCCGAGTGCAGGGAACATCTTGTCGCTGTCGTAGTCCTGGATGATCTCGCCCACCGCCTTCAGTGCCATGGCGTAGGCGTTGAGCTGGTACGGGTTCATGTAGTGCAGGGAGGTGGATTGCGAGGGGTTGCCTGATGGAGAGAGAGAAGGGTCACACAGACCAGCAGCAGTGTGCGGGCAAAGCAGTGGAGGGGCATGTGTATTTGTCAGGTCAGCTGAGGGTCAAACACTGAGGTCTTTACTCAGGGCCTGATTCTCACACACACACCAAGGGAAGTCAAGAGTAACTTCTCTGTCACTGATGGGGGGAAACTGATGTAAGAGAGAGATTGTCAGCTGTGTAGGGCAGGGACTGTGCTTTTGTTCTGTTTGTACAGCACCTTGCACCATGGGTCCTGGGCCAAGATCGCAGCTCCTAGTCACTACAGCAATATAAATAATCAATAATATCAGTGAGGTGAGTCCACCCCTCATTGACATCCATGGGCGTTGGCCTGGGTGGCCTGAGAAAACACTGTGACCCAAGGGCCAGGATCCAGCTCTCACGTCCACTGGTGTACATGAGGAGTAACTCTGCTGAGGTCAATGGAGTGATGCTGGTATCAAACTGCTCTAAATCAGATCAGAACCAGGCCCCAGGTGTTTGGGCAGGACACTTGTTCGTTAATAGTATAAAACCCTATCCCTGTAAGGATACCTAATACCTATCGACAGATTTAACAAGCGCTCAAGCAGTCATAAAATAACTATTGATTTCACAGGCCTTTATGGGGAATGAATGACTGTGCAATAAATACATAATATGTCAGAGGGGTTTAGTGTAATGTATTGTCTGATCAGCCACCAGCTGTCTGAACAGAGACTGACTGTGGTTCAGGGAACATTAGTACAGTTAATCTGGTAGGAGAACTCACCATTGGAAGCTGTGAAGTCAATGGCCACTGTGAAATTGATCTGTGTCCTGAAAAGAGGACAATGACACCGTTAGTCAGAAGCTCTGGCAGGCTGGTGCAGATTCTGCTCAGACTCCACCCTCGATGGGGTTAATGTTCCCTAACCAGGCCCCAACACCCTGGCTTGTTTGGAAGAGCTCAGCTGGAGATTCAAACCGTGCTGTTCTCGCCTGCAGTCTCTTGATGCACGGATGTCACAGATGGCAATGCACAGCTGAGCAAATCCATGGGAAACTGGCAGCCGAACCAGCTCCCAATGGCCTTTGTTAACATCTCCCCAGTGCAGCAGGTGGGAAGAGCTTGGAGGGGATCTAAGCAGGGAAAGTGGAGTCATAGAGCCAGTGGCCAGGCTGTCCCACCTGGGCACGTGCACCCGCACATCGCCTTTCACCCCAGCCGAGCCTCAAAGCGACTGGAGACAGCAGCTTCACTCAGGAAGATAAAGGGGCCTGAGTCAATAAGAGACACGTTAATGGCCAGGATGGCTCAGCAGCTGGGGCTGGGTTGAGAACAACGGAAGCTGAGCAATTCTGCCTCTCTGACCAGGAGTGCGGAGCTAGCTCCCTCTTGGATTGTTTGACAGCCCTGCCCTTGACTCTCAAGCTGTGTCCATTTCCTGGTGCCCACGTGTGCTCCCATCTCCTGGCTTGATCCAGAGAGGCGCTGAGCACCCACAACCCCTGGTATTTCCCAGCATTTTGCAGGATCAGGCCCTGTAGAGAGGAGACTGGGAGAGGAGCTCGACAGCATCTTGGTTGGGAGACACACTCGCTCTGTCAGATCAGCGAGCTGCTCCCACGCCCCCAGAAATCTTTCCATGACCACAGCAGCAGCCAGGTGAGAACCCAGCTCTGGGTCTATGGATCCCCCCTCGCCCTGCACAGAAGGGAGAAGTGTAGATTGAGTACATAGGATTGTCTGCAGTGACTGGCACACCAGCCACGTCCCCATGGGCGGTGGGTGAAACTTCCCCTGGGAGAGGCAAGCTCCTTGTCCTGCCTCTTCCTACCACAGTCCCGCCCACACTTCCACCCCTGCTCTGCACCAGGCCCTGCCCCCGCCCACTTGCCTCTTCACCACCACCCCGAGATCTCCCCTCCGCTCACCTCCTCTCCCACCCGCCTGCTGCTCGCCCACCTGCTGCTCATCTCTCACCCCTGCCAGACCCTTCCCCCGCCCCCACGAGACCCCCCCACTCCTCACCTGCTGTGCAGCTGGCTTGCCGCTCACCTCTTCACCTGCTGCTGCACGGCCCCCCCGTGACACCCTCTCCCCTTTTCACCTTAAAGCACTAATAACATTCCCCAAGGCAACAGGTGTAGCTCAATTGCCAGATAGATTCTCCTCTGCCAGGCCGGGAGTTCAGTGTAAGCTGTACAGAGAGACGAAAAGCCAGGCTACCTGCGCCAACCTGAAGCCTAATCTCACCTTTTGAAAAAGTACTTGTCATTGACAGCCTTCATTAGGGCAGTAGTTTAATCACCTTCCTTACACTGAATTCCCTGCCAGGCTTGTTTACTTAGATCATGAAATAAACTCCCTGGCTATGTCAGCTCCTCCTTGAGCCAGGTCAGCAGTTACTTCTTCTGGGTACAGAGACTAACTGACGGGTCGTCATTTGGAAGCTGTTTTTAACCCCAATAACACATTTTCCTACAATAGAAAAACCAGCTGAATGTGGCCAAAGGCTCCCTGAGCATTGGCGAATGCCCATCAGATGGGTCATTACCACTGTAAAGGCTCTTTAACAGTGTCAGTGATCTGCTCCGTCTCTTTCACTGTGTAAAGTTACTCCGGGATCCCGTCCGCTCGCCTCCTCATCCCCCCGTCTGCCACTGATGCCCCGCTCGCATTCTCACACACACACCTCCTGCGCCCCGCGGGGAGGGGGGTGAGGAGAGACGCGGCCTGCAGCTGCGGGGACCTCCGAGGGGGAAGGGGCTGGGGTGGAGGAGAGGAGAGGAGAGGAGGAAGATTCACCCCAGGCAGCAGCAGCAGGTCATGGGAGCCTCAGGGAAGGGTCAGAGCAGGGAGGGGAAGAAGGGGAGTTGGGGGGCACCACAGCCAAGGTGTCGGGCGGCAGAGACGGCTGTGCTAGGGAAGGCAATGCCTCCCCTTGCCTATTTACCCATTGCCCATCCCCTTCCGCCTCGCCCTGTACTCATCAGCTACGCTGACTCTGCTGCTGCAGGACCAGGCACATTAGCCACAGCAAGGTTTTAATTAGCTACATTAATTAGGCAACTAAGGACACTGTACCCCACGAGTCATCAGCAGTGTTTATGAACACAGGCGCCTTCCTCTCGCCCCAGCCCTGCTCCTGAGAAGTGCTTTGGTTGAATGGATGAGATGAGAATGAAAGCGATGGGTTTGATTCTCCTCCCCGGGTGTAAATCAGGAGTAACCCCAGTGGGCTCGATTCCTCTCTCACTTGCCCTGGTTTTAAATCAGAAGTAATCCCACTGGGTCCAATTCCTCTCTTACCACCCCTTGGTAAATCAGGAGTAAGCCCACTGGCCCTGATTCCTCTCTCACTCACCCTCGTGTAAATCAGGAGTAAGCCCAGTGGGCTTGATTTCTCTCTCACTCACCCTGGTGTAAAACAGGAGTAAGCCCAGTGGGCGTGATTCCTCTCTCGCTCACCCTGGTGTAAAACAGGAGTAAGCCCAGTGGGCTCAATTCCTCTCTCACTCACCCTGGTGTAAATCAGGAGCAATCCCACTGGGCTCCAATCCTCTCTCACTCACCACGGTGTAAATCAGGAGTAATTCCACTGGGCCCCATTACCTCTTACCTGCCGTGGTGTAAATCAGGAGTAATCCCACTGGGTTCGATTCCCCTCGTACCCACCCTGGTGTAAATCAGGAGTAACCCCAGTGGGCCCGCTCCCCTCTCACTCACCCTGGTGTAAATCAGGAGTGACCCAACTGAAATCAGTAGTGTTACACCAGTGTGAGAGAAGAATCAGGCCTCTTATGATCAAATCCCATCAGGATCAGGGAGATGCTATAAACGAAGGTCCAGCTGCTGCTGGTGTGAATCAGCCTCGCTACAGTGAAGTCAGTGGCGCGATGCTGATTTACACCCACCAAAGATCTGACTCCTAGGACCAAAATTTGCCTGTCCAACTCGAGACACCTCCAAGGCGTGATCATTAATGGCAGCTGCTGAGCTCAGGCCCCTCTGAGGCATCTCAAGCTGAGCTGCCAGAGCACAGGGCACCCGCATTAGAAAACTTGTGCAGAGTTACAGAGCAAGGCTGGAGTTGAGCCAGGCCAGACCCCACTTGCCCTGCCTGAGTCAGTAGCTCCCCCCCCCCCCGGACCCCCGCAGAGCTGAGAAAGGAACCTGGGAGTCCTGGCGTGCAGATCACTGCTCCACTGGCAGGAGCAGGCTGGTCCCCACATGCGGAGTGTTTTATTAAACCTCTGACAAATACACAGAACAAATGTATCCCTTGTCACCTCTGGACTGTCATCCTGGGATGAGAGTAAATGGCTTGACCTCCCTGTGCTCCGTGGGCTGAGGGGCAAGATAGCGTTGGCGCTGAGTAGGAGTGATGGCTGAAAGGGCAGCCTGTGGGCACCCTTCCGCCAGGAGCTCTGGCTTCTCCAATCATCTCAGCTGCGCCGTGCTGGCTGTCAGCCCCTGCCGCAAACCAGCATCAGCTGCTTTGTGACAAGCCGTGCCCTCAGCTGCCCGGGGAGACTCCTAACAAGGGGCCAATGCTGTCAACGGGCATTAACACCTCACTCACCAGACGGGAAGAGACAAGGCCAAGGCTCTTGTGACAGCAGCCCTTAAAAACGCCAAGGGGCAAAAACTAGCAGAGTGCAGACGAGCACCGACAGGGCTGGGTGCTGATCTGAGGCCCATCTTTAAAAAAGGGAAGAAGAAGAACCCGGGGAACTACAGCCTCACCTCATTCCCTGGAAAAATCATGGAGCAGGTGCTCAAGGAAACCATTTTGAAGCACTTGGAGGAGAGGAAAGTGACCAGGAACAGTCAACATGGATTCACCAAGGACAAGTCATGCCTGACTAACCTGATTGCCTTCTATGATGAGATAACTGGCTCTGTGGATATGGGGAAAGCAGCGGACACGATATATCTTGACTTTAGCAAAGCTTTTGATACGGTCTCCCACAGTATTCTTGCCAGCAAGTTAAAAAAGTATGGATTGGATGAATGGACTATAAGGTGGATAGAAAACTGGCTAGATTGTCAGGCTCAACAGTAGTGATCAACGGCTCAATGTCTAGTTGGCGGCCAGTATCAAGCGGAGTGCCCCAGGGGTTGGTCCTGGGGCCGGTTTTGTTCAACATCTTTATTATGATCTGGATGATGGGATGGATTACACCCTCAGCAAGTTCGCAGATGACACTAAGCTGGGAGGAGAGGTAGATATGCTGGAGGGTAGGGATAGGGTCCAGAGTGACCTAGACAAATTGGAGGATTGGGCCAAAAGAATCTGATGAGGTTCAACAAGGACAAGTGCAGAGTCCTGCACTTAGGACGGAAGAATCCCATGCACTGCTACAGACTAGGGACCGAATGGCTAGGCAGCAGTTCTGCAGAAAAGGACCTAGGGATTACAGTGAACGAGAAGCTGGATATGAGTCAGCAGTGTGCCCTTGTTGCCGAGAAGGCTAACGGCATATTGGGCTGCATTAGTAGGAGCATTGCCAGCAGATCGAGGGAAGTGATTATTCCCCTCTATTCGGCACTGGTGAGGCCACACCTTGAGTACTGCATCCAGGTTTGGGCCCCCCACTACAGAAAGGTTGTGGACAAATTGGAGAGAGTCCAGCGGAGGGCAATGAAAATGATCAGGGGGCTGGGGCACATGATTTACTAGGAGAGGCTGAGGGAACTGGGCTTGTTTAGTCTGCAGAAGAGAAGGGGGGGGAGGGGGGATTGCATAGCAGCCTTCAACTACCTGAAGGGGATGGAGCTCGGTTGTTCTCAGTGGTGGCAGATGACAGAACAAGGAGCAATGGTCTCAAGT